CTCAAGTGTGTTTTCCTGGTTACTCTCCTACTCAAAAGGGGTATAAATGTTACCACCCTTCTTCTCGTAAGTGGTTTGTGTCCATGGATGTCACTTTCTTTGAATCCCAGTTCTATTTCTTGTCCTCTCCGGTGTCACCGTCCTCATTTCCGGGGAGCCTTGGTGTGAAGTGATTCCTGTGCCTCCTATGGTGGAACCAGTTGTTCTTGCACCACCCTCTACTACTGTGCTTCCTATGGTGGAACCAGTTGTTCTTGAACCCTCTCTTCTACTGGGACTATAGAACCCACTGTCACCAAGAATACGGACGGGCATGTTTATGTCCGGGACATAGACAGAAAACAAGTTAACTGGATACACGGGACCGTTTCTGCTACCCACTGCCATCTCCTGCTTCTGGTGAGAGTCGAGGTAACTTTGAATCTCTCGAGTCCATTGATCTTGATGTTCCTATTGCCAAGAGGAAGGGTGTGAGATCTTGTACTCAACATCCTATCTCACAGTTTGTATCATACTCTCATTTGTCATCCTCATATAGAGCGTTTGTGTCCAATATTTCCTCTGTTAGCATTCCTAACCATTTTCAGGATGCTCTTGCTACCTCTGAATGGAAACTAGCCATGATTGAGGAAATGAAAGCACTTAGGAAGAATGCACTTGGGAATTGACTGAGTTACCTCCGGCAAACGACCTGTGGATGTAAATGGGTATATACTGTGAAACACAAAGCAGATGGGTCTATTGAGCGTTACAAGGCAAGACTTGTGGCAAAAGGGTTTACTCAGACATATGGCATTGATTATCAGGAGACCTTCGCACCCGTGGCTAAAATGAATTCAGTCAGAATACTTCTCTCTCTAGCAGCTAATCTAGATTGGCCGCCTTATCAGTTTGATGTCAAGAATGCTTTCTCCATGGTGACCTCGAAGAAGAAGTATATATGGACATTCTTCGGTTTTGAGGATCATCAAACAGAAGGCAAAGTATGCAAACTTCAGAAGTCATTTATATGGTCTCAAACAGTCTCCAAGGGTTTGGTTTGAGAGATTCACTCAGGCTATGTTTAAATATGGATTCAAACAAAGTCAGGCAGATCACACATTGTTGGAAACATTCCTCACGGTAAGACTACAACACTTATTGTTTATGTAGATGACATAGTTCTTACAGGCAATGATGGTGGGAAATACCTCTGTTGAAGAAATATTTAGCTAAAGAGTTTGAAATCAAAGACTTGGGCAGCTTGAAGTATTTTCTGGGAATTGAAGTTGCTCGCTCTAAGGATGGGATATTTATCTCACAGAGAAAATATGTGCTTGCCCTGTTGAAGGAAACTGGGATGCTTGGCTGCAAGGCATGTGCCACCCCCCTGGAACCCAATCAGAAATTAGGGGATGATGAAGGAGGAGAAGTTGTGGATAGGGGGAGCTATCAACGATTAGTGGGTAAGCTCATTTACCTATCTCACTCCCGTTCTGATATTGCTGTTGCTGTCAGTATAGTTAGTTAGTTTATGCATGCTCCTCATCAGATTCACCTGAGGCTGTCATGAGAATCTTGAGGTATTTGAAGTCTGCTCCTGGTAAGGGTCTGTATTTTTCAAAGTATGATCATCTTCGTGTAAGCCTATACAGATGCTGACTGGGCTGGTTCAGTAACTGATAGGAGATCAACTTCAGGGTATTGCACATTTGTTGGCGGCAACCTTTACTTGGAGGAGTAAGAAACAGAATTGGTTGCCAGGTCAAGCGCAGAAAGCTGAGTTTAGAGCTATGGCCAAGGTGTGTGTAAACTTTTATGGATCAAATTATTGTTGGTAATCTAGGTATTGATCAGACGGACTCCATGCGGTTATACTGTGATAATAAGGCCGCCATCACATCGCTCACAATCCAGTTCAACATGACAGGACAAAACATGTTGAGATTAGCGCCACTTCATTAAGGAGAAACTCACTAGTGTATCATTTGTACTCCCCTTTGTCCAGTCTGGTGAACAACTTGCTGACATTCTCACCAAGGGGATTGGGAATAAACCATTTCATGACATATTAGGCAAGCTGGGCATGAGAGATATCTTCCACCAGCTTGAGGGAGTGCTAGCATATTATATTAAAGTGTTAGCATATTATATTAGCCGAAAGGTTCACTAGGTCTGTCTGTTATCATTTTATGCACTCAGGGATAGCACTCAAGGATCATCTTGTAATTGCATTTCTTGTAACCCCCCTCGACCCCCGGATGGAGTCCCATGAAGCTTCCAACACGTCTCACGAGTATGCCGCGGCTTCTTGCAATAATCACAGAATTACAGACTCCTTATTAGCAGACGGAGGAGGTAGGCTGAGGCCATCTCGAGGAGTAGACAGTAATGCGGAACGGTCAGTAGAGACAGGGGACATCATGGCAGACCGGCGACTCTCCTCATTTTGTACATAGGCAAATGCCTCCTGAAGTGAAGGAAGAGTATCCATATCAGAACTCGACCCCTAACTGGATCATACTCCACATTTAGGCCGGCCAAAAATTTAAAGACCCGTTCCCATGCGATGAACTTTTTGTACCCGATAGAACAGTAGGGCAAACGGGCTTATAGCTCCAGGGGTCAAGGCGTTTCCAGCCGTTGGTGAGGAAAGTGAAGTACTGAAGAACAGTTTGCTCCCCCTGAAGTGAGCTCTCAATAGAGCGGCGCAACTCAAATGCCTGTGAAAAATTTCCTTTGCGGGAATAGGTAATAGCCACAGCCTCCCAAATGTCCTGGGCAGTCTCCATAGACAAGTATCCCTCACCAAGTTCTGGAACCATCGAATGTATAAGCCAACTCATAATCAAAGAGTTGGTAATCTCCCATTGGTCATAACCTGAGTCAGTGGTACTAGGTGCCTGTATCCTGCCATCAATATACCCCATCTTTCCTCTGCTTTTCAAAAACAAAGTCAAATTTTGAGACCATGCTAGGTAGTTTTGACCATTAAATAGAGAGGTGGTGATTTTCAGACTAGGGTTGGGGTTCTCAGTCATGGTAGTAGGTAGAATGGGACTCTCACTCTTTGGTGTTTGAGAAGAAGGGGACACACTGGTGGAATCTGTCATGGATACAATACTACCGAACCCGCAACAAAACTAGTGACAATCACAAACCCGGAAGGTGGTAGTGAGATAACAGGCACAATGACTACTATAATGACATAACAAAAAATTAAGAAATCATTTTTTTTTGTTTTTATATATATATATATATTGATTTATTTATATATACATGTATTTATATATATAAATATATATATCAGGTTATATTTATATATATATCAGCATATATATATTTATATATATCAGGTTATATAGATACCAGAGTGACGAAGACGAGGGAGATGAGGACGGCGAGGGCGATGACGGCTGGAGGAGATCGACGGGCTGAGGCGAAGCAGACGAGCCGACGAAGCAGACGAGCAGACGAGCTGAGGGACGAAGACGAAGCAGACGAAGACGATACAGACGAAGACGAAGACGACAGAGGACGGCTGGAGGAGGTCAACCCAGCAGATGATCCAACTAGGTACGTTTTGAACCCTAACCCTAGAGGTGTAGCTCTGATACCATGAAGCTTGGGTAACCAGCTTAAGGAATGATAGAATATCACCCCCTATTTATAAATGAAGATTTAGGGTTTACAAGAAATGCAATTACAAGATGATCCCTGAGTGCTATCCCTGAGTGCATAAAATGATTACAGACAGACCCTAGTGAACCTTTCGGCTAATATAATATGCTAACTCTTAATATAATATGCTAACAACACATATCATCACCGATTCAATGCATTTCACAACATATTCCACCTTTTGCCGACTTGATACGACAGGATAATGGGCACCCATTTCATAACACCCTCCACCTTTTGTCGGCTATTATACGGTGGGAAGTGAACTCCAAAAACCCTTTTCTCGAAAACCATATTTTTTCAAAAACTATGTTTTTTCAAATTTACCGACTATCAAACGGCAGGACGTGGAACCCCAAAAACATTTTCAACTTTAAAACCATCCCCACATTTGCCAGCTATTATATGGTAGGAAGTGGGCACCCAAAAATATTTTCAAAACCATCCGTTTTTCCACTTTTGCCAGCTACAATACGGCAGGACTTTGTGGACACCCAAAAACATTTTTCCCACATTCGTCCAGTGATAAGCCTAGATAGGACATTTGGGCACCATAAATTCAAAACCACCCCCACATTTACTGGCTCTTATACGGACGGATGTGGGCACCGAAAAACATTTTCCTCTTTTTCTTTCTAACTCCCCACGCGGGTACCAATTACAACACAACCCAACACCACTTAATATAACTCAACTCAACTCAACTCAACCTAACTCAACACAACTCAACTCAACACATTTCAACATAACTTAATGCAATTCAACATAACACACAACAAAATTCAACACAACCCAATTCAACACTATTAAATACAATTCGGCATAATTCAATACAAACTCTTAAACCTCCACATCATCATTTCATCACAAAGCTCATATCATCCATACCATTAGTAATTTCTTTCCCCCAAGTTTGGTTTCATATTATGACATAATTAAAATATCAACATTGAGGATTCAGTCGCAACTTTTACATAAATTTTCAAACTCTTTGCAATTTCAATTAAGCTTGTACATGTGTAATTTGATGCCTCAATTTCATGATACTACTTTCAATTTAAGCAAAACCACTATCTATCTTCATGAACCAAACTAGGATTTTTAAGAGAAATTAAAGTTTTTCACAAAACACATTTTATTCCAACCCTTATATTGCTTATACACCCAAACTCATGACCCAAAATCCTAACCCGACAAGTAAACCCAACTCTTCAAACCCTAACCCCCAATCTCATGATTAATCACAATATGCATAAAATATAAACTTTGTATTTATATAAAGAAAATACCACAAATCTATCTATAAATGAGGGTATTAAAGGAGAACTAGAAACCCCTACCTCTTGAAACGAACAGAAGACAACCCAAAAATCACCGGCAACAAAACCACGAACTATTCGGAGCAAAAGGAAGCTCTTGACGAGATCTACAATCTTTCGCAAAGGACCAAAGTGAAAAGATCACTCTAGGTGAGTAGATCTAAAGATCAAAGTGAAAAAGTTTAAGTTTAGAGAGAGAGAAGAGAAACTCACGATGCAGAGAGAGAAAGGAGGAGAAAAATAAGTGTTTGGAGCCTATTTATAGTAGCAAGGTAATAATAGAACAATAGCCCAAAAGTCAAATGAAAAGAACAAGTCAAAAAACCCCTAAAAAGTAGGGCCCAAGCTGACGTAGAGCCCAAACTAACCCAAAAATCTGAAAATTACACAGGGATTGACCCTTCAGACAGAGGTGTCGACCCTTCAAGAAGAAAAGCTAAGACATTAATGTGTGTAGAGGACAAGGTGTCAACACCTCCCAGACTGGTGTCAACACTAAATTCCAACAAGCAAACCCCAAATTCTGCAATAGACAAGGGTAGACCCTTCCCAGACCGGAGTCGACCCTTGAGGCCAACAACAAAAGGCAAATGTCGACACCACCAAAATTGGTGTCGACCCCAGAACAAGATTTCTAAGTTCCCAAACAATTTTTCAACGTAAACAAGCGTGAACGAACAATCCCAATAAGTTTAAGTCAATTTGTACTCCTCCAAAATCAAGATACAACAACTCAAAAGACTCCCAAAAAAGAAATAAAGGAATTAAATACACCCACCAATAGATTAAAGCATACATGTGTTACACTCCTCTGAGTCTGTAGTTCTAACCAAGGAGGAAGTGGAGACCTTCCGCCGTCTTATGTCAAAAATGGGTACCTCTTCTACTTCTTCTGCTTTTGTCTAATCAGGTAATACTACCATGGCCTTAAGTGCTTCTTGTCAATCATCGTCTTTCCCATGGATTATTGATTCTGGGACTTCTGATCATGACTAGTTTGTCCAATTTGTTATATATTCTTTGTTCAGGACAACATGTTAAAATAGCTAATTGTTCTCGTTCCTCAGTGTCCAACAAAGGTTTCATCCGTGACACTCCATCTATGCCTCAGTTTTTTGTGTTGCATGTTCCTAATTTGTCTACTAGTCTTCGTTTAGTTAGTAGTCTTGGGGTTGTTTTGAAAATTGATTTTTTTCAATAGGTTTTTGACTTTTTACAAAAAGATGTACAAAAATGTAGAGAGAATAGTTGACTTTTTTGTAGTGGCTTTTTGGCTTTTTAGCTAAAAAGCCAGGTTCCCGAAATAGGCCTTACTAAACAACTCAATTGTTGAGTGAACTTTTTTCCCACACATTGTGTTTTCCAAGATTTACTCATGAGAAAGACAATTGACAGTGGTAAGATGAGGGGAGTCTTTACTTTCTAGACCCTCAAGGGACTATTGATGGTCAAGTTCGGTAGGATCATCAATTTGTGACTTCTGCTTCATCGGAGGAGCAGTTGTGGCTTATAGACCTTATATTAGGAGATCCTTCTAATTTGTTGAAGAAACTTTTTCCAGCTTTGTTTTCTTAGTTGAATAGTTCTAAATTTTATTGTGAACCTTGTGAACTTGCTAAACATCATTGCATGTCTTTTCCTATCGGTAACAATAGAAGCAATTGCCCTTTTACTATTATTCATAATGATGTTTGGGGTCTAAGTCGAGTTGTTAATTTGTCTGGTTTTAAATGGTTTGTCACTTTCATTGATGACTTTTCTGGTGCTACCTAGGTCTATTCGATGAAGAATAAGAGTGATGTGTTTTCTAGTTTTCAACTATTTCACAAAATGGCACTCTCTCAATTTAATAACTCAGTTAGAATTTGTTCTATCTAATAATAAGGGTGAGTACTTTTATGGGGGCCTTTGTTCATACTTTTGAGACCATGGTATTATACATCAAACCACTTGCAATGACACCCCCCAACAAAATGGTTTTGCTAAACGAAAGAACCATCACGTCCTTAATGTCGCTCAGGCTTTGTGTTTTTCCATGAGTGTTCTCCAATGTCTATTATGCTGTCCTCTCTGTTGCTTATGTTATTAACAGGGTCCCTTCTCTCGTCCTAGGTTTCCAATCACACATTGAGCTTTCGTCCTCCTCATTTGTCTCCTCTTTCTCTAATTAGTTTGTAGTTCCTCCTCGTGTCTTTGGTTGTGTGTTCTATGTCATAATGTTCTATTGCATCTTCGGGATAAACTTGATCCTCAAACTACCAAATTCATTACCATTCAAGAAAGTTACAAGTGTTATCATCCTCCTTCCTTCAGTGTTTGGCTACATGGATGTGACCTTTTTTTTAAACTCAGTCATATTACCCACTTGAGACTTTGCTTCAAGGGAAGCAGTTGAGTGAAGCTCCATCCCCAATTGGGCTCCCTGTTGTGTCAATAAGTCCATCATTCGATCCAAGTTTTAAGAACAAGAGGTTTCAATGGAGAAGGAACCTGTGCATGACCATGATACGCCTTCTAGAGAGCTGAAAGTATATTCTAGACGACAAAAGGATAAGACTATCCCTCTTCCTCTGCCTTGCCAATCTGATTCCTATGACTCAGGTAATCGCTTTTTTGTACCTAATTCTAAATCCTCTAATCATGCACTTATTCCTCGTGTTGAATCTGATCTTCATGTTCCTATTGCTCTTCATAAAGGTGTGAGGTCATGTACTCAATATTCTATCTCTAATTTTGTTTCCTTACATCAATTTCACCATCTTATCATGCTTTTGCATCCCAGCTATCTTCTGTCTGTTCCATAGAATGTCTCGGAAACATTCACTGATCCCAAATGGAAAATGTTGATGTGTGAAGAAATGAATGCTCTAAGGAAAAACAATAATTGGGAGTTGGTTGAATTACCTTATGGGAAGAAGCCAGTTGGATGTAAGTGGGTGTTCACTGTGAAACATAAGGCAGATGGTTTTGTTGAGAGATAAGGCTTGGCTAGTGGCCAAAGAAAATACTCAAACCTATAGATTTGATTTGATTATCAAGAGACCTTTGTATGGTTTGAAACAATCACTGAGAGCCTAGTTTGACAGATTTACCAAACCTATGCTCAGGTTTAGGTATTGTCTATGTCAAGTTGATCGTACATTGTTTGTCAAACATTCACCACATGAGAGCTAAGGAGCACGGACATGGACACGACATGGATACAACATGGACACACCGCCACACCAATATTTGAAAAATGCAAGACACGACACGTCCACGATAATTTTATATATTTATTATATATTATATATATGAATATATCATTACAAGATAATAAAAAATACAATAAGACACTAATTCCTATAAATTTATATGATTTTTGATTTATTATTGTATCTTAAATTGTTTTATTGAAATTTATAATTAGTTTCACACGTGTCTAATTGATAGACGTGTTTAAGTGATAGACATGTGTGTCCACCAAGTGTCCGGTCTTCAAAAAAAATTAAACAATTGGACACGTTTTGAAGAGTGTCGAACATGTATCGAGGGTGTCTAACACGGATACGTCACCTTCTTAGAAGTGTTCGTGCTTCTTAGCATGAGGATAAATGCACTGACAGTGTGTGTGAATGATATTGTACTGACTGGGGATGACATAGCAAAGATGGAAAATTTGAAGAATTCATTAGCCAAGGAATTTGAAATAAAGGACTTGGGAGAATTAAAGTACTTCTTGGTATTGAGGTTGCTCGATCTAGACATGGAATTTTTCTCTCAACGTAAATATGTGCTTGATCTTCTTAAGGAGACGAGGATGTTAGAATGTAAACCTATGGACACTCCCAATGAATAGAATTACAAACTGGGGGTTAGTGAAAATGATACTCCTGTTGACAGGAGTCGTCATCAAAGACTTATTGGTAGACTTATTTACCTTTCACTCACTCGTCCTAACTTAGCATACGCAGTTAGTATGGTATGCATTCACCTAGTAAAGTTTATATTGAGGTTGTGTATAGGATTTTGTAGTACTTGAAGTCAACACTCGGTAAAAATATTTTGTTTTCAAAACATGATGATCTAAAGATAGAAGCCTATACAAATACAAATTGGGTGGGATCCATCGCCAACAAGAGATCCACATCAAGGTACTACACTTTTGTAGGTGGTAATCTCATGACATGGCGTAGCAAGAAGCAATTTGTAGTTGTTGGGTCAAGTGTGGAGGTAGAATTTCGATCAATGGCTCGTGGAATACGTGAATTGTTGTGGCTAAAGTCACTCATGAAAAAGTTAAGTTTTGATCAAAACAAAAGTACGAAACTGTATTGTGACAATATTGTTGTTAACATTGTCCACAACCCAGTTCCACATGATAAGACAGAACATGTGGAGGTTAATAGACATTTCATCAAAGAGAAATTGAATGAGGGGGTAATTTGTACCGTGTATTTCAAGATGGGAGATCAACTGGATATTTTGAAAAGGGAGTGTCTAGTATACTGTTTCACTCGGTTCTTGACAAGATGGGCATTCGCAATATCTTTGCCCCGACTTGCGTGGGAGTGTTAGTTATTAGTAAGACGGTATTATTGTAATATTTTACATAAGAATAAGGGTAATTCTATTTACACACCATAAATTGTCTCAGTACACACCATTAAAACATTAAATTTATATTACAATAATATCATAAAATAAAGCGACTATTAAAGACAATAATGGTGTTTTCTACCAATCCAAAGAATTCATAAATCAAAAACACAAAACACTCTTTGCACGCCATCACATATAGACATATAAACGGTGTATTTCTTTATCATCACACAACACTCATCATCCTCTCCATTATAATCTAACACACTACACTCATGATTACATTCATTATCAATTAGATCATCTCATTCTCTTCTCCATTATACTTATATTCTCAACTCAAAATATTATAATCTTTGAAAAGGCATTAAAATCAATTGGTTTTGAAAATTTGCACCCATGGATGGCACTCAAATTCTTGCTTCAGAACAACGCATCAATGAAAATGGTAGTTTACTACTTGAAGGCAATTTTGTTTTTTTGTTTTTCTCGTTCGTAAAATTACTAGAAGGATAGTTTTGTTTATGCAAATT